AGTAGAAACACATGTTTTTCAATCAAATGTATTTTATAAAGCTCTTTTTATATCAGTTGTCACAAAGTGCTAAAAATTACACTCAACACCCCATGTTGGCAGCCTAATGCCTATGCTATAGGCTTTAGCTCAGAGGGATAACACAGTCATCTGGTGAATACAGGTCACCCAGGTTCAACCCCAAGTGGTCAACTTTGTAGCCGTATTCATCATCGGCCACTGGTATTTGACAGGCTAATATGGGGAGTGCCTATTACCATGGTAAGCAATGCTACTCTATTAGCATGGTGAGCGAGGCTAGGGAAATTACCAGTCATTAGGAGTCTCTGATGGATGACTTAGAGTCACGGCAGCGGCAGCCATTTTGTTTCACCTGTGGATGTGGAAAGACACTGTCACGCATAGTTTGGAGGGTTACTTTGCATCTCAGCCCTCTAAAGGACCTCTGCATAGAGGAGAGGCAACCACTGACAGAGACGGCACCAGACACACACCAAGAGGGAGACCTCAGTCCACAGACCAGAGAACCACAGAGCGAGACCAGACCAGACCCACTCAACAGGTTAATATATTTTAATTAGAATTTCTGAATACAAACTGAATTATCCATATTGAGTAATTAATCAGAATGGGGAAAAAAAGTTTTGTTTGATGCTTATTGAACTTTGTCCTGTTTTTTGTAAATATGGACCAATAAAATGTTTTAAATGTTTTTATAGATTTAAAATATATTTTACCTTTATTTGCAGTGAATATATTGAAGAGATAGTTTTCTGAAATTTTACCCCAATGTTATTCATTTTTATGAGTCTTACTCAATGCTTGAAGTGGACTAAAATAGGTGCTGGTATTTAATTCCTTAGAGTCTAAGACTATGGAGTTTTATTTATATCTCCTAAATTTAGGACAGACACTTCAAAACCTTGTTTCTTATGATTAATTTCTTGACTGTCCTTTATGCCATTTATGAACGGGTTATTCAATGCATTTCTATGGGCTTTAGTAGTAAAGCTAAATCTTCCAAAGTCTTAGACTCTAAGGAATTAAATATCAGCACTACCGTTCAAAAGTTTGGGGTCACTTAGAATTGTTTTAGAAAGAAAAGCAATTTTTTTGTCCATTAAAATAACATCAAATTGATCAGAAATACAGTGTAGACATTGCTAATGTTGTAAATGGCTATTGTAGCTGGAAATGGCAGATTTTTTATGGAATATCTACATATGCATACAGAGGCCCATTATCAGCAACCATCAGTCCTGTGTTCCAATGGCACGTTGTGTTTGCTAATCCAAGTTTATAATTTTAAAAGGCTAATTGATCATTAGAAAACCCTTTTGCAATTATGTGAGCACAGCTGAAAACTGTTGTGCTGATTAAAGAAGCATTAAAACTGGCCTTCTTGAGACTAGTTGAGTATCTGGAGCATCAGCAATTGTGGGTTCGATTACAGGCTCAAAATGGCCAGAAACAAATAACTTTCTTCTGAAACTCGTCAGTCTATTCTTGTTCTGAGAGATGAAGGCTATTCCATGCGAGAAATGGCCAAGAAACTGAAGATCTCGTACAAGTCTGTGTACTACTCCCTTCACAGAACAGCGCAAACTGCCTCTAACCAGAATAGAAAGAGGAGTGGGAGGCCCCAGTGCACAACTGAGCAAGAGGACAAATACATTAGTGTCTAGTTTGAGAAACAGATGCTTCACAGGTCCTCAACTGGCAGCTTCATTAAATAGTACCCGCAAAACACCAGTCTCAACATCAACAGTAAAGAGGCGACTCCGGGATGCTGACCTTCTAGGCAGAGTTGCAAAGAAAAAGCCATTTCTCAGACTGGCTAATAAAAAGAAAAGATTAAGATGGGCAAAAGACCACAGACACTGGACAGAGGAAGATTGGAAAAAAGTGTTATGGACAGATAAATCGAAGTTTGAGGTGTTCAGATCACAAAGAAGAACATTGGTGAGACGCAGACCAAATGAAAAGATGCTGGAGGAGTGCTTGATGCCATCTGTCAAGCATGGTGGAGGCAATGTGATGGTCTGGGGGTGCTTTGGTGGTGGTAAGGTGGGAGATTTGTACAGGGTAAAAGGGATCTTGAAGAAGGAAGGCTATCACTCCATTTTGCAATGCCATGCCATACCCTGTGGACGGCGCTTGATTGGAGCCAATTTCCTCATACAACAGGACAATGACCCAAAGCACAGCTCCAAACTATGCAAGGACTATTTAGGGAAGAAGCAGTCAGCTGGTATTCTGTCTATAATGGAGTGGCCAGCACAGTCACCGGCTCTCAACCCTATTGAGCTGTTGTGGGAGCAGCTTGACCGTATGGTACGTAAGAAGTGCCCATCAAGCTAATCCAACTTGTGGGAGGTGCTTCAGGAAGCATGGGGTTGAATCTCTTCAGATTACCTCAACAAATTGACAACTAGAATGCCAAAGGTCTGCAAGGCTGTAATTGCTGCAAATGGAGGATTCTTTGACGAAAGCAAAGTTTGAAGGACAAAATTATTATTTCAATTAAAAATCATTATTTCTAACCTAGTCAATGACTACTTTCCTATTCATTTTGCCATATTCCCTATTCAAACTCATTGAAAACAAGGACATTTCTAAGGGACCCCAAACTTTTGAACGGCAGTGTGTATATATGTATACACAAAACTACTTTCATACTTCCATTTGTTTTATTTTTTTTCCTTTAATTTTTTTTCGATTTTCACCTAAAATGACATACCCAAATCTAACTGCCTGTAGCTCAGGACCTGAAGCAAGGATATGCAAATTCTTGATACCATTTGAAAGGAAACACTTTTGTGGAAATGTGAAATTAATGTAGGAGAATATAATACATTAGATCTGGTAAAAGATAAAACAAACAAAAAAACATGCGTTTTCTATTTTTGTTTTTGTTCCATCATTTTTGAAATGCAAGAGAAAGGCCACAATATACAGTGAGGGAAAAAAAGTATTTGATCCCCTGCTGATTTTGTACGTTTGCCCACTGACAAAGAAATGATCAGTCTCTAATTTTAATGGTAGGTTTAGTTGAACAGTGAGAGACAGAATAACAACAAAAAAATCCAGAAAAACACATGTCAAAAATGTTATAAATTGATTTGCATTTTAATGAGGGAAATAAGTATTTGACCCCCTCTCAATCAGAAAGATTTCTGGCTCCCAGGTGTCTTTTATACAGGTAACGAGCTGAGATTAGGAGCACACTCTTAAAGGGAGTGCTCCTAATCTCAGCTTGTTACCTGTATAAAAGACACCTGTCCACAGAAGCAATCAATCAATCAGATTCCAAACTCTCCACCATGGCCAAGACCAAAGAGCTCTCCAAGGATGTCAGGGACAAGATTGTAGACCTACACAAGGCTGAAATGGGCTACAAGACCATCGCCAAGCAGCTTGGTGAGAAGGTGACAACAGTTGGTGCGATTATTCGCAAATGGAAGAAACACAAAATAAATGTCAATTTGCCTCGGCCTGGGGCTCCATGCAAGATCTCACCTCGTGGAGTTGCAATGATCATGAGAACGGTGAGGAATCAGCCCAGAACTACACGGGAGGATCTTGTCAATGATCTCAAGGCAGCTGGGACCATAGTCACCAAGAAAACAATTGGTAACACACTACGCCGTGAAGGACTGAAATCCTGCAGCGCCCGCAAGGTCCCCCTGCTCAAGAAAGCACATATACAGGCCCGTCTGAAGTTTGCCAATGAACATCTGAATGATTCAGTGGAGAACTGGGTGAAAGTGTTGTGGTCAGATGAGACCAAAATCGAGCTCTTTGGCATCAACTCAACTCGCCGTGTTTGGAGGAGGAGGAATGCTGCCTATGACCCCAAGAACACCATCCCCACCGTCAAACATGGAGGTGGAAACATTATGCTTTGGGGGTGTTTTTCTGCTAAGGGGATAGGACAACTTCACCGCATCAAAGGGACGATGGACGGGGCCATGTACCGTCAAATCTTGGGTGAGAACCTCCTTCCCTCAGCCAGGGCATTGAAAATGGGTCGTGGATGGGTATTCCAGCACGACAATGAACAAAAACACACGGCCAAGGCAACAAAGGAGTGGCTCAAAAAGAAGCACATTAAGGTCCTGGAGTGGCCTAGCCAGTCTCCAGACCTTAATCCCATAGAAAATATGTGGAGGGAGCTGAAGGTTCGAGTTGCCAAACGTCAGCCTCGAAACCTTAATGATTTGGAGAAGATCTGCAAAGAGGAGTGGAACAAAATCCCTCCTGAGATGTGTGCAAACTTGGTGGCCAACTACAAGAAACATCTGACCTCTGTGAATACCAACAAGGGTTTTGCCACCAAGTACTAAGTCATGTTTTGCAGAGGGGTCAAATACTTATTTCCCTAATTAAAATGCAAATCAATTCATAAAATTGTTGACATGCGTTTTTCTGGATTTTTTGTCGTTATTCTGTCTCTCACTGTTGAAATAAACCTACCATTAAAATTATAGACTGATCATGTCTTTGTCAGTGGGAAAACGTACAAAATCAGCAGGGGATCAAATACTTTTTTCCCTCACTGTAATATTGCAGTTTAGGCGCAGTTTGGATTTTGGCCACTAGATGGCAGCAGCGTGTTGAGCAGCATTTTGATGATTGGTTTTCAGAGTTGTGAAAATTGAATTCATACTTGAGAAAATTGCACCAAAGAGATTGAAGAAAAACTGTAGGTGTAAGCCCTTGTTAGCAATCACTGATGATGTAAGAAATATATGCAAAATCTATAATAAATATATTACTTATTTTCATTATATTTCATTGATTAATCCCTTTTATATTCCATTAGTGGAAATACTGTCAGCCAGACAATGGAGTGGAGAACCCATCTCTTACTGTTTATTACAGGTAAGTACAGTAAATGTGTCTGTCTGTATGTTATATTTCTGTGTTGTTGGATGAAGATACAGTATGTGACCATGTAAGGACTAGATATGTATGCACTAAATTAGTTTTATTCCCAGGGTTGTTTTTGCCTTCTCCATGCCTCCCTTATCAGTACCACTTTGTTGACATGTGGAAGACCTGGAAGGAAGCACAGACCTACTGCAGAGATAAGTACACTGACCTGGCCACCATAGACAATATTGAGGATATGAATAGACTGATGAAAATGGAAAAGTTTAGTGTTTATTATTGGATAGGCACTGTCTGGATAGGGCTGTATGATGATATTATTAACAGCTGGAGGTGGTCTCTTGAAGACAGTGACTACTACGGTGATGGAGAGACTGAGTTTAGACACTGGCAGATAGGTGAACCTAATAATAGGAGCGGTATGGTACACTGTGTGGTCATGAAAAATGGGATGTGGAAAAATGTGGATTGCAACCTGGAACATTCCTTCATCTGCTGCACCGGTGAGAAATTTGTTTTTTCTTTGCTGTATTTCTTAGTCTAGAGTTTTAAGTAGACTATTACTATGCTAATCACGTTTCTTGTCATTTCATGTTTACAAATACACACTCAAACTTGCATACTGTATACACTGATGAGTAGCCTCAGTGTAATCAAGTCAAGTACATTTCTTTTACATTTTAGCAGACGCTCTTATCCAAAATGCATACATTTTCATACTTTTTCATACTGATCCCCCATGGGAATTGAACCCACAACCCTGGCCTTGCAAGCACCACGCTCTACCAACTGAGTCACACGGGACCATCTAACTTGAAGTGCAAAATGTAGATATGTAAGAAAATACCCACTCATCCTGATTTCAAAATCCATCCACTATTTGCAGGTGAGACAAAAGACAGTTTGAGATTTATCTTAGTAAATGAAACAAAAAAAAGCTGGGGTGAAGCTCAGAACTACTGCAGAGATCATTACCGAGACCTGGCCAGTGTGAGGAACCAGGCTGAGAACCACGAGATAGAGACCTTGGTTGGTGATAGCGAAGTGTGGATCGGCCTGTTCAGCGACTCCTGGAAGTGGTCAGATGGCAGTGATTCCTCCTTTAGGCACTGGAAGGTGGGAGAACCCAATAACAACGACAGTAAACCGCAATGTGGTGCAGCAGTGTTGAAGGAAGGAGACACGTGGACAGACAAATGGACAGATTGGCCCTGTGATAATACTTGGCAACCCTTTGTTTGCTACACCAGTGAGTTACTGTATAAACTATTCTGCTAAAGTGTTAAACAACTGGATTGCTTGTAAAAAGAAAAATACATTATGTATTTCTAATTGGGGTCTTGAGTGTTAGGGTCTACACAAAATGTTCATATAACTCTCCCTTCACTTCCTTATGTAACATGGAGTGTGATCAACATGACAAACGTTTTATTCTCGTGTCTGTGTATTTCTAAGCTCCTCCAGTGAAGAAAACTCAGAAGGTGGTGAGAGTGAGACTGACCCTGAACGGCCAGAACATGGACCTGAATGATCCTGTCGTACAGGAGGCCATCTTACAGCAAGTGAGTCTCACGTTCTTCATGGTATCTTTTTGGGGTCTATTATAGACACATTTACAGTACAAAAAAGATAACATGATGCATTATATTATATTCCATTATTATATTATATTATATTATAAACCTGGTGGTTCGAGCCCTGAATGCTGATTGGCTGACAGCCTTGGTATATCAGACCATATACCACGGGTATGACAAAACATTTATTTTTACTGCTCTAATTACGTTGGTAACCAGCCGCAATGCGTCGTGCCTAAGAACAGCCCTTAGCCGTGGTATATTGGCCATATACCTCACCCCCTCGTGCTTTATTGCTTAATTATAGCATAGCATATTATACTGTATTCCACATATTTATGTTCTTCAGATAAAGAAGGAGGAGGGGATGTCTGATGATGTCAAACTGAGATGGAAGGAGCAGCCCGATGGGAAGTTCTTCCACAAGGAAGAAAAGAGGGATTCCCAAAGAATGGAGAGAAAACCAGTTATGACAAAAAGAGAACTCTAAATTTTGGGAAATATATTTCTTGATTTGTAGGAAAACTCTACTCCTATATATTATTTTAGCTGAATTTGAGTTTTGTATGTGTCCAACTACATGGCATGAGCTTAGAAAAGCTTAGAAATACACAGACACGAGAATAAAACGTTTGTCATGTTGATCACATCAACTAGATACAGCCCCAGGACAATTTTTTCTTGAGCGGTTGGTCAGGGGGCCGGAACATAATTACAAATAATTTGTAGACCGCAAATTGACCACAATAAGCTCAAACAGATATAATACTTGACTAAAATGTAATAATTTCAAACCTTGCTTTGAAATGCAACTCAATATTAGGAAGGTGTTCTTAATGTTTTGTGCACTCAATGTATATCTCTCTATTTGCGATAGAATACTTGAGCTGATATGCTGGTCATTTATGTCCAACAACAACAACAAATTCGGCCCTCGGGCCGCCAGTTGGGGAACCCTGTCCTAGAGTATGTATTACATTATATGCATTATATATTATATGCTGTCGCACTCATTAACAATTAACAGGAGGATTAAAAAAAAGGAGGTGGAGAAGAGGGGAAGAACAGAATGAAGGGAAAGACAGAGCTCTAACTCTAAATGGTGTCTGATTATTTTTGTTACTTATAACCTTTCAGCTTTTCTATAATCAAATCAAATCACATTTTATTTGTCACATGCGCCGAATACAACAGGTGTAGACCTTACAGTGAAATGTTTACTTACAAGCCCTTAACCAACAATGCAGTTTTAAGAAAGATAAATGCAAATAGTCCGGGTAGCCATTTGATTAGCTGTACAGGAGTCTTATGGCTTGGAGGTAGAAGCTGTTATGAAGCATTTTGGACCTACACTTGGCTCTGCGGTACCGCTTGCCGTGCGGCAGCAGAGAGAACAGTCTATGACTAGAGTGGCTGGAGTCTTTGACAATTTTTAGGGCCTTCCTCTGACACCGCCTGGTATAGAGGTCCTGGATGGCAGGAAGCTTGGCCACAGTGATGTACTGGGCCGTACGCACTACCCTCTGCAGTGCCTTGCGGTCGGAGGCCGAGCAGTTGCCATACCAGGCAATGATGCAACCAGTCAGGATGCTCTCGATGGTGCAGCTGTTTAACTTTTTGAGGATCTGAGGACCCACACCAAATCTTTTCAGTCTCCTGAGGGGAATAGGCTTTGTCGTGCCCTCTTCACGACTGTCTTGGTGTGTTTGGACCATGATAGTTTGTTGGTGATGTGGACACCAAAGGACTTGAAGCTCTCAATCTGCTCCACTACAGCCCTGTCGATGAGAATGGGGGTGTGCTCGGTCCTTCTTTTTCTGTAGTCCACAATCATCTCCTTTGTCTTGATCACATTGAGGGAGAGGTTGTTTTCCTGCACCACACGGCAAGGTCTCTGACCTCCTCCCTATAGGCTGTCTCATCGTTGTCGATGATCAGGCCTACCACTGTTGTGTCATCGGAAAACTTAAATGATGGTGTTGGAGTTGTGCCTGGCCGTGCAGGGAGTACAGGAGGGGACTGAGCACGCACCTCTGAGGGGCCCACATGTTGAGGATCAGCGTGGCAGATGTGTTGTTACCTACCCTTACCACCTGGGGGCGACCTGTCAGGAAGTCCAGGATCCAGTTGCAGAGGGAGGTGTTTAGTCCCAGGGTCCTTAGCTTAGTGATGAGCTTTGAGGGCGCTATTGTGTTGAACGCTGAGCTGTAGTAAATCAATAGCATTCTCACCTAGGTGTTCCTTTTGTCCAGGTGGGAAAGGGCAGTGTGGAGTGCAATAGAGATTGCATCATCTGTGGATCTGTTGGGGCGGTATGCAAATTGGAGTGGGTCTAGGGTTTCTGGGATAATGGTGTTGATGTGAGCCATGACCAGGCTTTCATGGCTACAGACGTGAGTGCTACGGGTCTGTAGTCATTTAGGCAGGTTACCTTAGTGTTCTTGGGCACAGGGACTATGGTGGTCTGCTTGAAACATGTTGGTATTACAGACTCAGTCAGGGACAGGTTGAAAATGTCAGTGAAGACACTTGCCAGTTAGTCAACGCATGCTCGGAGTACACGTCCTGGTAATCCGTCTGGCCCTGCGGCCTTGTGAATGTTGACCTGTTTAACGGTCTTACTCACATCGGCTACGGAGAGCCATGATCACACAGTCGTCCGGAACAGCTGATGCTCTCATGCATGCTTCAGTGTTGCTTACCTTCGAAGCGAGCATAGAAGTGATTTAGCTCGTCTGGTAGGCTCGTGTCACTGGGCAGCTCGCGGCTGTGCTTCCCTTTGTAGTCTGTAATAGTTTGCAAGCTCTGCCACATCTGACGAGCGTCGGAGCCAGTGTAGTACGATTCTATCTTAGTCCTGTATTGGCGCTTTGCCTGTTTGATGGTTCGTCGGAGGGCATAGCGGGATTTCTTATAAGTGTCCGGGTTAGAGTCCCGCTCCTTAAAAGCGGCAGCTCTACCCTTTAGCTCAGTGTGGATGTTGCCTGTAATCCATGGCTTCTAGTTAGGGTATGTACGTACGGTCACTGTGGGGACGACGTCATCGATGCACTTATTGATGAAGCCAGTGACTGATGTGGTGTACTCCTCAATGCCATCGGAAGAATCCCGGAACATATTCCAGTCTGTGCTAGCAAAACAGTCCTGTATCTTAGCATCTGCGTCATCTGACGACTTCTTTATTGACCGAGTCACTGGTGCTTCCTGCTTTAGTTTTTGCTTGTAAGCAGGAATCAGGAGGATATAATTATGGTCAGATTTGCCAAATGGAGGGCGTAGGAGAGCTTTGGACATGTCTTTGTGTGTGGAATAAAGCTGGTATAGTGTTTATTTTCCTCTGGTTGCACATTTAACATGCTGGTAGAAATTAGGTAAAACTGATTTAAGTTTCCCTACATTAAAGTCCCCGGCCACTAGGAGCGCCGTATGAGTGCTTTCCTGTTTGTTTATGGCTTTATACAGCTCATTGTACTCACTTTAGATATAATCTGGCATATTGTATGAAATATAATTTGAGTGTGTATTATAAATGTGTGTTAAAATATATCTACTTTTTTGGGGAGATTATTAATTTGATTTGATTGACAATTTAAAAACACAATAGAATAGAATTCATTTTAAATAATCGAGGATAAAAATGTATATAGTGTAAAAACGTATTTCCATTTTGGTCCTCTTGTTTTATATAATTATAATCATGAAATTACATTAATTAAGAAAACATCATTAATAAGGTAAACATTTTCTGGAATTGGTGTTGATCTTTGTAATTTGGAAGCAAATTCTAATAAAGGATGACTACTTCACTTGTGATTGTTTTTGTTTCTATATCAACACATACATTAAAGGGCAACTCCTACCCAGAGCAGTGAGGGCAGAGGTGGGCGGGGTTAAGGTGACAGTATGTTCCCTGATTGGATAGGTGTGGTTAAATATTACCATGTCTCCACCTTCTATCAGGAAGACCTGTGTTGGACTGGACTGAACACGTTTTTCTTTCAGTTTACCTGGATCAAATTACTCACAGGTGAGTCATATTCATGTAGAATATTATATAATATATATACTGAACAAAAATATGAATGCAACATGCAACAATTTCAAATATTTTGCAGGTGAAGAAGCCAGATGTGGAGGTCCTGGGCTGGCGTGGTTACATGTGGTCTGCGGTTGTGAGGCCGGTTGGACGTACTGCCAAATTCTCTAAAACAACATTGGAGGTGGCTTATGGTAGAGAAATTAACACTACATTTCTGGCAACAGCTCTGGTGGACATTCCTGCAGTCTGGTGGACATTCCATGCTCCCTCAAAACTTGAGACATCTGTGGCATTGTGTTGTGTGACAACACTGCACATTTTAGAGTGGCCTTTTATTCTCCCCAGCACAAGGTGCATCTGTGTCATGATCATGTTGTTTCAACCTCTATGGGATTGGTGTCCCGTATACGGGATAGTTGAGCTAACGTGCGCTAATGTGATTAGGATGACTGTTGTAAGTAACAGCAAACTTTCTAGGACATAGACATGTCATATATGGGCAGAAAGCTGAAATTCTTGTTAATCTAACTGCACTGTCCAATTTACAGTAGCTATTACAGTGAAAAAATACCATGCTATTGTTTGAGGAGAGTGCACAACAACAAAAAACTTATCACGGCAACTGGTTTGATACATTCACCTCTGAAGGTAAATAATGTACTTACATTCAGTAATCTTGCTCTGATTTGTCATCTTAAGGGTCCCAGAGATAAAATGTAGCATAGTTTTGTTTGATCAAATCCATTTTTATATTCAAATATAGGAACTGGGTTCTACAGTTTGAACCCCTGCTGTCTCTGGCTCCTCACCCACCCCGCCCGGCCATCTAGATATGTGAAAGTTAGTGTATAAGCTAACGATCTATCATGTATGACATTCCTGGGAGTGTGTAAACTTACATTTTGTATTACCATATCATGTTGTATGTTCTCTATAGTTATGTACTTGAAAATGTATCAATTGACCAATTCGGCACATTTGGGCAGACTTGATACAAAGTAGTCCAGTATTGCAATGCTTCACTGGATCAATCTGAAACTTTGCACACACTGCTGCCATCTAGTGGCCACAATCTAAATCACGCCTAAACTGCAATATTATATTGTGGCCTTTCTCTTGCATTTCAAAGATGATGGAACAAAAAAGAAAATAGAAAACGCATGTTTTTTTGTTTGTATTATCTTTTACCAGATCTAATGTGTTATATTCTCCTACATTAATTTCACATTTCCACAAGCTTCAAAGTGTTTCCTTTCAAATGGTATCAAGAATATACATATCCTTGCTGGTCCTGAGCTACAGGCAGTTAGATTTGGGTATGTCATTTTAGGTGAAAATTGAAAAAAAGGGTCCGATCCTTAAGAGGTTAATCAGCTTCTTGATATGCAACACCTGTCAGGTGGATGGATTATCTTGCCAAAGGATAAAATTATCACTAACAGGGATGT